ATGACTTGATGGCTATATATTAAGCTCAGTCATTACACTGGGGTGATGGAACCCAATGGAACCAGTTTGTGGCAGAGACCTCTTTAAAGCTCTATTAGGAACACTGGTCTCACTAGTATCTAGATAAACCATTTTACATTCAATAAACATTTATAACCCAACACAACCAGGTTATTGCCTATTTTGTTTATATAAGATAGAGCTACTCATGAAACCTCTTCAAGGTCTCAGTGTATCCAAATCAATCATTTAGCTTGCAATCATTACATAATCCCAGGTTTGGGAACATACTGACTACTTTTAAGTCTTTGTAGGAACACGTGGATTTGGGCAAAATAAAGTATGAGCTGCTTTAACATTAAGCAGGTCTTTCAGTACAAATACTTAAGATACAACTTTAGATTTTTTCCCTAAGCAAAATGAACTCAAGACAGAACATGTAAAGGAGAGAAATGCTCCTTTGGATGGTTTTATTAGAAAACCTACGTTTGTATAGGGAAAGTGAAGCCTTACTTTCCTATGCCTAGTAAGAGTCACATTGCTTTTGCAGCTTAACTATATATCCAGTAATTTTCCAGCTATGCTTTCCGAGAGAGTTTGCATAGTTTTTGGTGGAGAGTAGTCAAGTTAAAGACAAACTTGCAAGAAAAATTGGGCTTTCTCCTTTAATAATTGGTGACGAATGTATGCAGGAAAAGCCGAACAACACAAATGTTTATGCAAACTCTGCCTTGTGGCTTATAACTTCTTTTTGAAGATTTAATGAAAAGGTTAGATGTTTGAGGATTGCTTAACATGCATTCACAGTTGACTTTTTTTTAGCCAGTGAAGACCCCCAAAGACCCTTATCAGAAAAGGGTGTGGAGAAACGAGAGAGGACTTTGGAGTGAGGTCACTTTTATTTTCAAATCTCAGCTCTGCTGTCTACTAGCTGTGTGACCTTGGGCAAGTCCCTCAGCCTCAATAGAACCCCTCTGTGAAAAGAAGGAAGGTGAGGGTACCATACACTACCAGGGTGGCACTAGAGTTAGTTAGGGTCACCCAATGCGGTAACTCATGGTATCACCCCCTCTCTTCATGGACCTCCCATATAGACCATACAGAATCTTTAGCAATGTTTATTACCAACTTTAATTACAGAATAATATGTGGTAAATAGAGCATAAATTGCTGAACTGTAATATTTTTAGATTATGTCATTACCAACAGCAAAATTGTTTTGCAAAATCTAAAATTACAACATCATTAGCTAAAACAATTAGTAAACTGGCTTTTCTCTTTCTTTTCCTTGAATTCATTTTCAAAAAAGTTATCCATGTAGTTTCACAAATACTACTTACCACAATACTGTAGCTAAAACATCAGAAATTTAATAAGATCAGGAACTATGAAAACACCAGAAGCAATGAAAATAACGTGTGTGCATATATCCCTTGCAGACGAAACCTCATGGCTCAAAGCATCTTAATGACAACTCTGGCTGTAGCACATTGGAAGATTCAAATTAGCATAGTGTTTTAGCCTTGCAGATTTACTGATACATATAAGCTGGGCTTACACAAAAAATGCTTTTGGTGTTATTACTAACTATTGGGATATTTTTATAAAAGATAATAAATTTTTGCTGAAACACTACACAAAAGCTTTATAGAAATGCCCGCCAGTGATACCACTGTACCTTGCAGGGTTGTTGGGATATCTAGAAAGCTCTGCAAAGAGCTAGGTGCATAGTTTGTGCTCAGAGAACTGCAGAGATGAAACTCCCCCAACCATGATGTCTAGGCAGTTGTTCACCACCTTTCTCTTAGATTCTCCTGTCTGTCACCCTCCCATTCTGCGAATTCAAGCATACTGGAAGTTTGGGACTCAAGATCTTGTTTACTTTTCATGATACTGGCCATATGCAGTTATAGTCTTCCCCATTTTCTGACTTACCATCATATTTGTGTTGTTCCAAAGGAAAGAATGAGGACTAATGGATGTATGTCCCAAGATGGCAGAGTCTGACTATATTATAACATTTTGTGTTATTCAAAGATTGCTTTGTGTTATTCAAAGATTGCCTTGTGAATTCTCTGTCCCTCAAGGTGTTCAAGTGAAGGAAAGAAGCCTACCTGTCATGAACACCTTAGGAGAATTTTGGGAAATTCATGGAAGTTGAACTTCACTCTCTCTTTAATGAGACACAAAACGGATTCTCTCGAGGGGCCCAGTGATGACCTCTCTTACCGGTTTGATTCATCTAGCTTCAACCACATTAAAAAGTGCACAGGAAATGGAAAAACTCACACTCTCTTTTTCTGTTTCAGTATGTTTTATACCAACTACTCATACATTTCTGGTGTTGCTGCTCATGTAATGTGGCTCTTGTAAGATAGACTGAGGCACATCAAAAAAAAAGTAGAAAATTCCAAGTTATGCTTACTAGAGACCAGACCACTTCATAGTTAATGTAGGTTTGTTTCACAGCATAAATTTATAAGCAGACTTAACAGAGGTTGGATGTTATTGCTGTTACGTGCCCACTAAGTTGATCCGACTCATAACGACCCTGTATAGGATTTTGGAGGAGTGACTGGTGGATTTGAACTGCTGCCCTTGCGTTAGTGGTTCAGTGCTGATCCTACTGCCCCATACCAGGGCTCCATATATTATTTAATACACACAAAAGGAAACTACTAAGACTTCACATAGAAAGGAAGAGGTACAGCTGGCTGACTACTTAGTGGTTATCATCTTTTACTATGATGGGACAGTGCAGATTTCTTTTTCATTACAGTTTTCCTTCTGATCTGTTACAGTTGTGTCTAAAGATGCCTAAGACATCAGAATTTCTTGAATTTGGGGAGGATATGCTTGCATTTTATGGGGATTAACATTTCTGATGAGATGCTGTAGGAAAAGCATTGGAGTAATACAAGGTCGGCAGTTAAAACCCACAGGGTCACTGTGAGTCAGAATGACTTGATGGCACTTAACAACAACAACAACAACACTCATGTAGATGTCATTGTTGGTTCAGCGGTAGAGTGTTCACCTTCCATGTGGGAGACCTAGGTTCAATGACTGGCCAAAGCACTTCATGCACACTACACCTGTCTGTCACTGGAGGGTCACATGTTTCTATGACGCTGAAGAGGTTTCAGCAGAGCTTCCAGATTAAGAAAATTTGGACAAAAGGCTTGGGGGAATCTACTTCTGAAAACAGCTAGTGAAACCCCTGTTGATCACAATGGCCTAAACCCATTGTACTTGGGGTCCTCATGAGTTGGGAACTGCCATGAGTAGAATTCTACAGGGGTAAACCCTTTTAATACTCACAACAAACTTATAAGACCTATGTTATTTATTACTCTTTGTTTTAGAGATGACAATGAAACCAGCTCTGTTGATGCCAAAGGTCGGGTCAGACTCTTTCCACTGTATTATGTCTGTATTCCACTCTCAGAAATCTGTCTTTTGCTTATAAATTCAGAGGAACATTTAATAGAATTTTGGCACCTAATTATTGTTGTTCCATAAATAAAATTTTGCAACATAGCAAACTGGCTCAGACTTAAAATATGTAGCAAGACATGCTGAAGGATCAGACTTCTTTGTTCCCTTGCTCTCAGTGGGGCGGCAAAAGTCTGCCTTCATCTTCATTCTAATTATCCCAAACCTCTTATCTGTAGTGTCACAGTTCATAATAATTAATTGTCATGCCAGAGGCATTGTGACATGCTTGATGGAGTCCTGGTGTGCTATGTACACAAAGTAATTAGCAATCATTAGTGGTAGTATAGAAAGTTCCTAGTGGTTTTATTCCAACTCCCATTTTGTTAAATTTATCTCTGTGTTCTTTGTGCATAATTGTAATTTAGCAAGTCAAGTTTTAGCTCAACTGTTTTATAAAGAATTGCAGTGGAAGTGACAGGAAGGAAAACCGAAGTTTTTTTCCTTTTGTCTTTATCTAAGTAATGAGCTTCTCTTCTAATAACTTGCATATATAGTTCCTGACCATTAGTTAGCGTCATTGTCTTTAAGTATAGATAATATCACATATTGCTAAAGCCAATCACAAATACGAAAAGGCAGTAGTGCACCAAAGAAGACTAGAGTGTCTGCAACAGGAAACTCAGTATTAGTAATACAAATTCTGATTTCTTTCACCTGGGCTGCCTATCAGAAATTCACAGAATGTCTGTGTCTGTTTTTGTGGTTTGGAACCTGTCATCAACCTCTGTAGCAAGATGGCTGATATTAACCTTGACTTAAATATGTGAAAGAATTATACCAATAAATAAATTTTGGAACTGAAGAAAGGCAAGAACAAAAGGGTCAAGCTATAGCGATCTTTCTTAAGGAACAAAGCAGTTGAAGAGAAATCTGGCCTCTGTGCTTCAGCCAATCCTTATGAACGCATGTCCAAATACAATAAAACCAATTTCCATGTTGCAGAGAGTTGATAATAAATGCCACGAATTTCAAAGTTTGTAAATATTTTGCAAAACATCTTAGTAGCTACCTTTTCCAATCAAGCCCTTCTAGTACTTATGTTCTTATTAAAAAGTGCTTCTCAGCTTTTGACAGGAAGGCTCCACCCAAGCCCAAACTCAGAAGAGGGAGAGACAAACTGGGTGCTACCCTGTGGATGGGAGCAGGTTTGCCTGGGTGCAATGTCAGATGGTGTACAGGCATCTTGGGGAGACTGAATCTTAGAGCTGGAACCTCCAGTGAAGAAACAATCACGGACAGAAGGTCCAACCTTCCTACCCATCCTTCTCCACAAACACTGACTCCCGTTTACCACCTCTCTCACCCTCAGTATAATTAGGCCATAATTGAACTGGGGCCTGACAAATCCCCAAGCGATTTTACACACAAGTCTAGAAGGATCAAAGACACAGGAGGCAATGTCTGGAGGGGGATGCTAAGTGAAAGTCATAGTGGGACAGTGAGAAGACAGTGATAGAAGGCAAAGCAGCTGCTGCAGGATCAAAGGCAGGTGGGCAGCCTACCTGCTGGAGGATGCCCCCCTTTCAGCGGGGAGAGCAGGACTTGCGTTTCATTTGCCATAGTGTGTGTCCGTGTCAGTGCTCTGGAGTGCTAGCTGTGGCTGCCCCACCGCACCCTGGCTTTATACAGGCTGGGGCGGAGCCCCTTCAGGGCATTGCTGAGCAGCAACAGAGCTTGTCACTCAACTCTCTGAGAACCTGCATCTCCTTGGCAAGCTTCCTCATAGAAGCAAAATGTCTTCTCTTCTTGTGGGGAGGTGAACATCCATGTTGTTATTAAGTGCCATCCAGTCAGTTCCGACCCATAGTGACCTATGGTGGTAGTGGTGGTTATGTGCTGTGGAGTCGGTCCAGGAAATCCTTAGTGTCTTTTTTGCAGGGGGATGTGTGGAGTTCCCTTTCTCTCCAATTATCTATCCATCAATCATGTATGGTACACCTACAATGTGACAGACTCTGTGGCAGGGACAGGCAGGACAAGATCTTTGCCTTCCAGACACCTGTCGTCTTTATAAAGAGACAATGACAAAACAAAATGCACTGACTTCGTCCCAATCATTACAATTGTAGCTATTTTTGTTAAGAAAATAATTGGAGATGTTCACAGAGGTGTCTGCAAAAGAATTGTGATCATTTGCCTCTTTCATTTAAAAACAGTATTGATTTGAATCAGCAAGAATGTCAAAAACCACATAATAGTAAGTAAATAAATTATGATTAGACTAGAGTACGGTGCTGTGGGTTAATGAGTTGGACTTCGAAGTCGGTTTAATCTGCAAGGTCGGCAGTTCAAGCTCACCAGTTGCTCCTTGGAAACCCTATACAGGGTTGTTATGGGCCAGAACTGACTTGATAGCATTTAACAACAACAACAACATATATACATTATAAATCATATTGCAAATGATGTTGAATGATGCAAAAAATTTAATGATATGATACTCAGTGAAAAAAGTAGGTTAGAAAGCAATAAATGTCATTTTTGTGTGTATGTGAATTGAGTGAAGATTTACAGACAAGATCATCAGCTTTACATTCATGAAATCATATGCTTTATTTCACCTCAGTGATTGCAATCCCCTCCATGCAACAGCGGCTCCCTGTGCATACTCATGTACAAATAGCCTCTTTCACACTCGTATATGTTTGTGGGCTACATAAATATGTATGTATCCCACTCTTCCTCCCATACCCATTCAGCCTATGTCTCTGTCCATGATCTACACACAAAACACTGCTGCTCCAAGGTTGTGTAGCTCTCACTATTTACCTCTGTCTCCTTTAGCCCTTGCATACCTCACCTATCTTCATCATCCTTCTGGTAGCCTCCCTCTTCTTGTATATTGCCCTCCTCCTTCTTGTATATTGTCCTCCCGGTCACACACACACTTTAAAAAACAGCATCTATGTGTCTACCCAATAGATGTCATTTTTTAAAGAAGAAAAAAAATACAAATTTAAGTCTAGACATTATTGTATCTCTAGTGTCAATCAAAGTTTAGCATATGGCAGAAACTTATACATATGTATTTCTTCTTCAATACAATTAAAACTTCTGTTTTTAAAAATATATTCTGAAGAAATGAAGACAGTCCCAAAACTAGGAAAAATATTTGTAAGACATATTCATAGTATATAAAGTAGTGACAGCTAGAATATATAAAGAATTCTTACAACACAATAAGAAGAAAATGACATTTCAATCTAGTTTTTTTTTTTTTAATTAAATGTTTTTATTTTGGATTGAGTGAAAGTTTACAGGACACATCATCAGCTTCACATTCAACCATTCATATAGCTTGTTTCATTACATTGATTATTATCCCCGCCATATATCATCAGTTTACAGTGTTTCTCTCTATCCTCTTTAGCTTTTTTTTTTTTTTTTGATTGGGGGGAACTTGCCTTTTTGGAATTTACAGTCTCGGCTTTTAGGGAAGGTTTTTACATTTGTCTGTGGATATCCAGGGCTCATGTATGAGATTACTAACAAGCATTACTGAATAATCAGATGAGGGACAGTTTGCTATGTCTACTAGGTAGCTAAAGTCTGATCCTCAGAGCCTATGGTTTGGACGGTCAACAACGCTTGGGCCCACAGGGGCTTGGCCTCCTGACCGGGTCTGCACGGTCTGCATCCAAATCCTCCTTATTTATTGTTTAAGGGACGCTGCCTGTCTTAGGCGGTCAGTGCGAATTCCTCAGTCTTACCAGTCATTGAAACTCATTGCAGCATGGCAATGGCTCTGTCTTAAGTTGCCGAGGTTCCACGTGATCCTTACCCGTCTCTGGCCACACATCCAGCATAAACAGCCGCCATCCGAGGAAGGCAGGGAGGGAGGAGATCGGCTGGGGACCCCATGCGCCAGACGTTGCCGGCCCACCACCTGCTCTAAGGTGACCAAGCAGGATCACTATGCTGAGGTTCAATCAAGTTCTTAGGGGATCTTACTCTCTAGCAGGGGTAGCAAATTAGTAGCCACTCAGTGCTCACTTTGAGTCAATCTAGTTTTTAACTTTAAAATGGGCAATGATTTGAACAACTACTTTTCCAAGGAAGAGATACTGACAACAAGTAAGTACAGAAAAAATGCTCAACATCATTAGTCATTAGGGGAATGCAAATGAAAACCACAATGAAATAATATCCATGTACTAGGATGGCTTAGCTAAAATGAACAGAAAATACTAATGATGGTTAAGACAGAGCAGTTGGAGCTCTCATACATTGCTTGCAGGAAGGCAAAATGGTAAAGTCACTTTGGAAGATGATCTGGTAGTTTGTTATGAAGTTAAACTACACTTACTATAAGGAGCTCTAGTAGCATGGTGGATTATGAGCAAGCTGCTAACCAAAAAGAGAATAGTTTAAATCTATCAGTCACGCTGTGGGTGAAAGATGAGGCATCCTGCTTCTGTAAAACCTTATACGGGGTCACTATGAGTTGGGACCAATTCCTCAGCATAACCACCAACAACACACTTACTATATAACAGCAATGCTACTCCTAAGTATTTTAGCAAGAAAAATAAGACATGTATATGAGGGTAAATTAAAAACAAAAACATTTTTGCAACAAAATTATAGAAACCTCTATTAAACTAAAATAATGAAATGTGAAGCTATTGTTTCTTGACATATCCTCCATCTAGTTCTATCCATTTCTTAAGGTGGTGTTTCCCTCTCTCTAACCCTGCCCTGGAGTTCTGGTGTGGTGTTGTGGGTTAATATGCTAGACTGCAAAGTCGGTCTGAACCACAAGGTCAGGAGTTCAAGCTCACTAGCTGCTCCTCGGAAACCCTATATAGGATTGCTATGGGTTGGAACCAATTCAACAGCACTTAACAACAACTAAACTAAAAGCACAAGGCCAGTGGTTCAAACTCATCAGCTGCTCCTTGGAAAACCTATACAGGGTCACTATGAGTTGGAACCAACTTGATATCACTTACAACAACAACCCTTCTCTGATGAATTCTGCAGTCTTCGATTTGTTCCTTTTTTATGTTCTGTGATTTGAAAGAACAAAAAATCTGAAGGGGCAAGATCAGGGCTGTGAGTTAGATGGGGTAAGGTTTCCCAAGGAAATGCTCGTAAGACAACCCTTACTATCCTTGAAGACTGAGAAGGTGCATTGTCGTGTGGAAACAATTCTTGGTGCAACTTTCCTGGTCTTTATCACACTAGGGCAGTTTTCAATTTTCTTAAAACTTGATAATAAGCTCCCATGATCACCCTGTGTCATACAAGAAAACCTATCAAGATAACCCCTTTGGAATTCCAAAAAACTGTTGCCGTAACTTTCTGAACTGACCTCTCTAACCTTTTTTGAAGGCACCTTAACAGTACTAAACCTACTGCCATCCAGTGAATTTTAACTCACAGTGACACTACAGGACACAGTAGAACTGTACCTTAGGGTTTCCAAGAGGGTACACTTTTAGAGGAGCAGATAGCCGTGTCTTTCTCCCTCAACTGGCTGGTGGCTTTGAAATTCCCACCATTTGATTAGTAGCCTAAATCTTAACCAGGACAAGCGTCATTCTGAGAGAATTTGTCATCATCTACTGATGACAGAGACATGTTTTATTAGGAATAAACCTGCACATGTATGAATTGGAACCCTAGTAGTAATTCTTTTTACTTACCCTTGTACATGCAAAAACCTGTATATGAATACTTGTGGCAGCTCATACATAACTGTCAAAAGTTAGAAGCAATCCAAAAGTTCATCAGATTGAGAAATGATAAACTGATTTGTGTATATTTAAATGACAGAATACTGTTTTTGTTGTTGTTGTTAGGTGCCATTGAATTGGTTCTGACTCATAGAGACCCTATGCACAACAGAATGAACCAGGTGACTCCTCATAATTGATATGTTTGAGCCCATGGTTGCTGCCACTGTGCCATCCATCTTGTTAGGAGTCTTTTTTTTTTTTTTTGATGACCCTCCACTTTGCCAAGCATGACGTCCTTATCCAGGCATTGACTGTTTCCTCCTGACAACAAGTCCAAAGTATGAGAGACAAAGTCTCGCCATCCTCGCCTCTAAGGAGCATTCTGGTTGTACTTTTCCCAAGACAGATTTGTTTATTCTTCTGGCAGCACATGGTACTTTTCAATATCTTCTCCAAAGTCATAATTCAAATGCATTGATTCTTTTGCACTCTTCATTATTAATTGCCTAACTTTCACATGTATATGAGGCAATTGAAAAATACCATGGCTTGGGTCAGGCACACTTTAGTTCCCAAACTGACATTTTTGCTTTTGAACACTTTAAAGGGGTCTTTTGCATCACGTTGGCCTAATCTGTTTGATTTCTTGAATATTGCTTCTATGAGCATTGATTGTGGATCCATAATCCACAGTTGTCTTGGACAACGTCAATCTTTTCTACATTTATCATAATATTATTTATCGGTCCAGTTGTGAGGGTTTTTGTTTTCTTTACATTTCTTTACACAAATCCGTACTGAAGGTTGTAGCCTTTGATCTTCATCAGTAAGTATTTCAAGTTCCCTTGACTTTAGGAGTCCTGATGTGGCACTATGGGA